AACCACCGGTTGAGGCGATGAGTACAGGTGAGAACCTGGGCAGGGCTCTACACTCTTCCTCCCTGTCGACCTGGCCTAGTTGTGTGAGCAGCCGTATGGCGACATTGTGACGAGGTGATCCACTCTCTTCTGAACTACGACCCGGGGAAGAGGGTGACTGTCAACGCCGTGGGGAGTGTTAGAAGTCTACCGTCGACATCAGGATGATAATATTGAGCCACGAGAAGGTAGAAAAGTTGTACAGAGGCTTGCGTTAGCTGTATGTATATACCGTCGTGTTGGTGTAGTTGGCTGAGGGTCTCAGGAACTGTCCTGCTATTACGTAGTGGAGACTGGCAAGAGAAGTACAAGGGTTCAGAAGAGAACCATTATTACTGCTGAGTAACGCTGCTCTCTTAGTTATTGTCTCAGTGTATATATATAACTGTACATCTAATGTACAGTGTCCAGTAATGTGTATATATAACTGTACATCTAATGTACAGTGTCCAGTAATGTATATATATAACTGTACATCTAATGTACAGTGTCCAGTAATGTGTATATATAACTGTACATCTAATGTACAGTGTCCAGTAATGTGTATATATAACTGTACATCTAATGTACAGTGTCCAGTAATGTGTATATATAACTGTACATCTAATGTACAGTGTCCAGTAATGTGTATATATAACTCGACATCTAATGTACAGTGTCCAGTAATGTGTATATATAACTCGACATATAAGGTACTCACGTTTGTGGGTAATATAGATAAATATCCATGATAAAATTTTACCTATATTTTATTTTGACCTTAGTCAGGGCTGAGTTATGTCCGTGTGTCACACCTGACAGTGTAGGAGTGTCACACCTGACAGTGTAGGAGTGTCACACCTGACAGTGTAGGAGTGTCACACCTGACAGTGTAGGAGTGTCACACCTGACAGTGTAGGAGTGTCACACCTGACAGTGTAGGAGTGTCACACCTGACAGTGTAGGAGTGTCACACCTGACAGTGTAGAAGTGTCACACCTGACAGTGTAGGAGTGTCACACCTGACAGTGTAGGAGTGTCACACCTGACAGTGTAGGAGTGTCACACCTGACAGTGTAGGAGTGTCACACCTGACAGTGTAGGAGTGTCACACCTGACAGTGTAGGAGTGTCACACCTGACAGTGTAGGAGTGTCACACCTGACAGTGTAGGAGTGTCACACCTGACAGTGTAGGAGTGTCACACCTGACAGTGTAGGAGTGTCACACCTGACAACAGGTCAGCCTGAGGACGACGACACCTGACTAAGTCAGAGGTGACTACATTTGGATAATATCAGATTTATCTATAAACTATAGTTATCAGAGTAACTATACACTAGAAAAGACTAAATGTGTTGGGCTATGTAATCGACAGTTCGATCCCAACAGGTAGTTGGGATCTTCTACACTGTAATACTTCTACACTGACAGTGTAGAAGTAGCACACCTGACAGTGTAGAAGTATCACACCTGACAGTGTAGAAGTATCACACGTGACAGTGTAGAAGTATCACACCTGACAGTGTAGGAGTGTCACACCTGACAGTGTAGATCTGGTAGCTGTGGGCGGCCAAATATAGCTGTGGGGCTTCTTAAAGTTGCCTGGTGGTGGCAGCCTTCCCCAGAACCTATCATTCAGGGGGACCCAGGACCACGTGTCCCCCAGCCTCCCCCAGCACGTACTCAGGAGCCCCAGGACCACGTGTCCCCCAGCCTCCCCCAGCACGTACTCAGGAGCCCCAGGACCACGTGTCCCCCAGCCTCCCCCAGCACGTACTCAGGAGCCCCAGGACCACGTGTCCCCCAGCCTCCCCCAGCACGTACTCAGAAGGACCAGGACCACCAGGAAATCCATAAAAAAACATGTTTCCGGAACACATTAATATAAGAGTTCAGGTGTGAGCTAATCTTGTTCCTGTTGGAGGTTTGCCTGCAGTTTACCTCTAGTTGGTTTCGAGAGTTCTCACAGTCTTACTCCTGTACATCTTCTACACTTTCTAAGAACGTCATCGATTAGACTGTTGCGGTCCGTTGACCCACTCTGCCAGGCAATACAATGTCTTTAATATGAATATTGTCATATTTTAACAAATGTTCGCTCAGTTCCACTCAATTTTTTTTTTTCTTGGCACCCCGGCCGCTCTTGCTCAGGAGGCTAAGTTAGGCGGTTCTCCCTGTAAAGCAGAGTAAACACGCACAAACTCAGACACAAACATTGAAATAATGCGAGAAACTTTGGGCAGAATTTCTTTCAACCTATGCCCTGTTACCTAGCAGTAAATAGGTACCTGGGAGTTAGTCAGCTGTCACGGGCTGCTTCCTGGTGTGTGTGTGTGTGGTGTGGGGAAAAAAAATAGTAGTAGTAGTAGTAGTAGTTAGAAACAGTTGATTGACAGTTGAAAGGCGGGCCGAAAGAGCAGAGCTCAACCCCCGCAAGCACAACTAGGTGAATACAAATCACTCCCTACCCTCCCCCCTCCCCTGTGTACACACACACACACACACACACACACACACACACACACACACACACACACACACACACACACAGTCCGGTAGCGCAGTGGGCTATGTTGTCTGTTCATAACCCAGGATCTTGTGTTTGGTCGTCGCGATCAGGCAGAAAGCAATGTTTCCTTTCACTGATGCCTTTGTTCACCTAGCAGAAAATGGGTACCTGGGAGGTGGAAAGTTGGTCTGGGTTGCATCCTGGAGTTATTGGTCTGGTGTGTATGTATGACAGGAAAAATAGGTCGTCACTTCATTAGACAACCTACGGCAAAAAGGTGGAGCCCAATAGCTAAAACCTCCATCTTAAAGGCACCGATACGTGAATATATACACACTCAAAAAATCTGAAAATATATATAATATATATATATATATATATATATATATATATATATATATATATATATATATATATATTATATGAACGGAACGATAGATTTTAGGTGAAAATTGTTAGTTCAGTCATGAACAACATGTATTTTTTTCTATAAATATCAATTAAAGAAAATATACTTTCCTGAAAAACAGTGAATATTTGACTAAAAATATGCATTTCACTGTGAAAAAATATAATATTAATTGGAGAATGAACTATTTCGCTCTGCTGCAGTCTTTTCGAGGGGTGGTGTGGCAGGTGTTGTGTGGTGTGGCGGGTGTTGTGTGGTGTGGCGGGTGTTGTGTGGTGTGGTAGGTGTTGTGTGGTGTGGTGTGGCAGGTGTTGAGTGGTGTGGCAGGTGTTGAGTGGTGTGGCAGATGTTGTGTTCAACTTTCAAACATTAATGGACAACATTGTCCATCTTTTCTTTAATTTTTCGAGTCATCTCTAATATGTTATGGTCTTTTGCCCCTTGTTCTGATTTACATATAATTTCCGTATACAGTGGTCACTGTAGGGAAATGTTGTGGTCTATTTGTGTAATGTTTTCCTCATTCTGGGTTAAGAGGAGGTTTATATTCCTTTGTATGTGTCGTCCTGGTCGCATTATCTCTCTTTGGCGTATGTTAGGATGTTGGATTTTGTGGTGCGTTGCTCCTTATGTAGCAAGTCCTCATAACATAAGGAACAACATAAGTTGTTCCTTATGTTGCAAGTCCTCAAGTCCTCATGTGTTGCAAGTCTTCAAACAATCATTAGTTGATTGTGTCCCAGTCTCTCTCCCCTTGATTGATATCTCCCATGATTGAGATATCTATTTGCTATCGTTTTGCTATCATTCTATGAGCAGCGGTTGCTGGCGCTCTGTTATGGTCTGAGCTCCGTTGCTCTCGTCATATTAACTCGTGGGCCTTGTGGTGTTCCTTGGTGGGTTGAACACAACCTTAAATTACTACATCAACAATGTTGCCACAATTATTACATAAATCCTTAATTCATACAAAAATGAAAGTTGCAGCGAATGTGACAGTCTGGTTTTTTTCATTTTCCTGTGGCTTACCTTACCTTACCTTACCTCTTCCTACCTTAGCCCTCACATAATCATCAGGACATCACCTCATTTTCTTTGTAATTGTGTATTTCATTGTCATTTGTATAACAAAATATTGACTTGGTTATTCAGTCGACTGAATTCTCTGTCAAGCTTCTGGTAGATGGGGGAAGTTTACCCCCGCGTGCCTAGCTGGCCAGGGAGTGGGGGGGCAAGGTGCTCTTGCCGGCCAGTGGGCCAAGACGTCTCCTTGAGAGGGATAAAGAGGTAAAAACGTGGAGGAGAGAGGCTGGAGAGGGTTTGGAGAGGGAGAAAGCATTATGAGACACCATCAATACTGTTGCTGCGGGTTTACCCATCTTGTGGGAGAGAGCCTGACGATCTTAAATGCAATATCGACTAAATCTAGTATTTAATTCCCAGATAGGTAAACTGGAGACCGTTTAGGCGTGGCTGAGGGAGGTAAGGCTCAGCACAAAGCAAACCTGTCTGCCTCTTGGGCCATATTAATTATCTGTTTTTTAAGCCCAGACATGTTTGTCATCTTATGGCTCGGTACTTTCTATCCATCAAAAACTTTTGAAAAGTTGTGACGTTCGCGGCATGCAAGCCTGAAGCTCCCTTGGTTCCCCCAGCTGGAAACTCTCGTGGTTCCCCAGCTGGAAACATCCTTGGTTCCCCAGCTGGAAACATCCTTGGTTCCCCAGTTGGAAACACTCTTGGTTCCCCAGCTGGAAACTCTCTTGGTTCCCCAGCTGGAAACTCTCTTGGTTCCCCAGCTGGAAACTCTCTTGGTTCCCCAGCTGGAAACTCTCTTGGTTCACCAGCTGGAAACTCTCTTGGTTCCCCTGCTGGAAACTCTCTTGGTTCCCCAGCTGGAAACTCTTGGTTCCCCAGCTGGAAACACTCTTGGTTCCCCAGCTGGAAACTCTCTTGGTTCCCCAGCTGGAAACTCTCTTGGTTCCCCAGCTAGAAACTCTCTTGGTTCCCCAGCTGGAAACTCTCTAGGTTCCCCAGCTGGAAACTCTCCTTGGTTCCCCAGCTGGAAACTCTCTTGGTTCCCCAGCTGGAAACTCTCTTGGTTCCCCAGCTGGAAACATCCTTGGTTCCCCAGCTGGAAACATCCTTGGTTCCCCAGCTGGAAACACTCTTCGTTCCCCAGCTGGAAACATCCTTGGTTCCCCAGCTGGAAACATCCTTGGTTCCCCAGCTGGAAACATCCTTGGTTCCCCAGCTGGAAACATCCTTGGTTCCCCAGCTGGAAACATCCTTGGTTCCCCAGCTGGAAACTCCCTTGGTTCCCCAGCTGGAAACTCTCTTGGTTCCCCAGCTGGAAACTCTCTTGGTTCCCCAGCTGGAAACTCTCTTGGTTCCCCAGCTGGAAACTCCCTTGGTTCCCCAGCTGGAAACTCTTGGTTCCCCAGCTGGAAACATCCTTGGTTCCCCAGCTGGAAACTCTCCTTGGTTCCCCAGCTGGAAAAACTCCTTGGTTCCCCAGCTGCAAACTCTCTTGGTTCCCCAGCTGGAAACATCCTTGGTTCCCCAGCTGGAAACATCCTTGGTTCCCCAGCTGGAAACTCTCTTGGTTCCCCAGCTGGAAACATCCTTGGTTCCCCAGCTGGAAACTCTCTTGGTTCCCCAGCTGGAAACATCCTTGGTTCCCCAGCTGGAAACTCCCCTTGGTTCCCCAGCTGGAAACTCTCTTGGTTCCCCAGCTGGAAACATCCTTGGTTCCCCAGCTGAAAACATCCTTGGTTCCCCAGTTGGAAACTCTCCTTGGTTCCCCAGCTGGAAACACTCTTGGTTCCCCAGCTGGAAACACTCTTGGTTCCCCAGCTGGAAACATCCTTGGTTCCCCAGCTGGAAACATCCTTGGTTCCCCAGCTGGAAACTCTCTTGGTTCCCCAGCTGGAAACACTCTTGGTTCCCCAGCTGTCCAGAGAAGCACTTCGAGGCAGTCAAAGATTCCTCTCATATATAATTAATATTTCTAAATCAAGTGGTTAGAAAAGTATGTTACAACATATTACATAACTACTTTTAGTGTGGTGATGTATTGTCTTTATCACATGTTCATTTATTTCTCTTTTCTCTTATTCCATGAAATTTTGTTTTAAATCTTAATGCAAATATGATTCAAAAAGAAAACTAGATTTTGTTTTTGAATCATAATTCCCAAAACAGTTCCCCTAACAGAATTAAACATGTGAGTTATGTATACTTGAAGGTGTATACATACACCTTCATGTATACAAGGGGGTAGTGTTGCTGACCTTTATGAAGGGTGGTGTGGCAGGAGAGGCACCAGCAGCAGCTGCAGGAGAAG